ACAGCGATGTCTTAAACGGCGAAATCTACTTTGTTCATGAAGGAAACTCGCCCAGACTTTGTGGACAAAGTTTTATCAACTTCGTGCTTGTTCCTGTTTGCTCTTCCTTTAATGTTGAAACAAATAAGTTAACGTTAAGCGGTCATGTGCGCCGTGAGCGCTGAAAGTCTTCTTCCACTGGAGAGGTTTTCCTTTAGCTACTCAATCCAAATGACCCACTTTGTCCACTCGTCCTCGCATAGCCTCCACTGCATTGGCTATTTGGGCGTACAGATCCCGTTCATGACGACTCATTGATGAGTAGCTAAAGGAAAACCTCTCCAGTGGAAGAAGACTTTCAGCGCTCACGGCGCACATGACCGCTTAACGTTAGGAACTTATTTGTTTCAACATTAAAGGAACGAGGAAACAGGAACAAGCACGAACTTGATAAAAAACTTTGTCCACAAAGTCTGGGCGAGTTTCCTTCATGAACAAGGAAGATTTCGCCGTTTGAGACATCGCTGTTACCGTATTCTGCGCGCATGTTTTACTTTCCCGTGAATGAGCTACTCTAACCTGTCACGTTATACCGCCTCCAGTACCACCCGTGTACTACATGTTTCATCACATGGGTGCCTCCCCCCTTAAAGTGCATGGCGCTTCGCACGCGTGCCCAAAGCTTCCTGGGTTACGGTAGCAGCGGGCCGCGGATTTCGAGATCATTTTTGTCCACAGTGAACCCAGAAACAGCAGTATTACCGCACCGAAGATAAAGAGAAGGTTCCAAGACAAAGGAAGATACCGTAGCGCGTTGAGGAGGTTGGCTGTGACTAGGCGACCCTCTTCCCCACCATTAACCCGGTTTTGTCAAATCGGGAATGTGTCCGCCCAGTAATCCCTTTCTCTAGCAGGCCCAGATCTTAGAAGACGCAGACGGATAGAGTGAACACAGTGATCTCGCTGCGTGCTGTACCTAAGTGGCGATAATGTTACTACGAACTTCACCCGGCATCAGCCATCAGGTAACCACCATAGCAACTCTCTCAACAATCTTTTGACCTGAGTCAGCGGTGAGGAATATGGCGCTGCTGACAGATCTCCAACCACTTCGAGGGTCAAGCGGAAAAGCAAAAGTTGCGATCTCCTCTCAAAACTCCCTAACCTCCCTTCACGCGGACCCATATCTTCCATTCAAGATCCTAGTCCCACCACCATAAATCCTTCTCCACCACGACAATTGAAAAACCAAGAGTTTGAGAAAGAGAACGCAGATCATTATCGAAGCAACATTCACTAAACGTAGAATGACCACCAGCTCAAAGCGAGTAATTCCTTGAACAACTGGAAAACCGAAAGTTGCTAGAGTGGATCTCTTTAGAGCTACGCTATAAAGATCTGATTCAATGGACAGGATCTGTCACTAATGCAGGCAAATTATGAGGATTACCAGCTGTGTGAAGTTGAAACTTTGCGAAAGATCTCATTCCTTGGCATATGTGTCAGGTACGTTTTCTCTCTTCAGTGAAAAGTATTCATTAAACTCAGCTCTTTTCAGCACAGTAGCTACCATGACGTGTATCGTTTCCATCCCCTCACTTTACAACTACATGCACATCGTTCAGTCCACTTTAGAATCGGAAGTAAGACTGCATGCTCAAAACTACATACTTTCAGATAAAATAAATCTCTTGCTGCTCATCAACCCCTTTTGGGATGCGCCACGCAATCTAATTCCATGCAGAATCAGTATCATCAATAGCATTTCTAACGCGATATAGTCTTGCAGGAACAGCCGAGGTACGGATCAGTGTCTTTATCTTCCCTAATCGTATGATACCGAGTTGGCTGCCCCGCTGGGATGTAAGACTTGGTTGGGCCGAGAAGACCGGCGACAATTCATTTGTTTCCCATCTACCCGCGGCTTTTGAGCACATAGCACAGTCTTGCCATCTGGTTTAGGCCTTCTGCAACCACAACTGAGACCCTTTCCCTAGTGGAGCACATCTGAATTTTGGAATTATCCAGAGTTAAAACAACCAGCTCATGCTTCACTAACTGCTATAGTGCCAGCATCCAACATCTTTTCTGAAGGCACGCCCCGCCCCGCGTTGAGAAATGGTGAGTTGTGCGGCTCGGATACCAGTGACAAATGATGAAAAGATGGTATATAATACGGAAAAGCAGAAAAAGAACCAGAAAACCCGCCAGAAATGTCCTATATAAAACCCCTTGCTGAACAGCGCTTGTACGTCCATACGGGGAAGAATGGGCGCGGATAGACCAGTTCTCACTGACCACTCGAAATGGGGAGAGCCAAAAGCTGAACAACTGCAATACCGGGGAGCCTTTAAAAATGAAAGCTGGAATTAAAGTGGGCAGTATGCGGGGCGATAGCTCTCGCTTTTCTCACGTATTTCTGAGCTGCGGAAGTAGTTTATGCGCCATGTTGCGGAGGAAATCATGCCCGCAGAAGGCGCCTGAACATAAAATGAGCGTAGCGTGCCTTTAAATCACCTTGTGTACAGGGTTACTATGCAGATCGGTTCATATAAATTTAGCTCAAACCTCAGAAAGGCTCTTAGCTGAGTCACAGAACCCCTCCACTTGAAGGCCGGTGACAGACAAACAAGCACTTTGACTCGCAAAACGTACTCTCTGAGTTGTGCAGTGGTTGGTCCCACAAATCACTCCGAGTCAAATCGTATCTAAAATTCGCTGCGATTTGATTGCAAGTGATCAGCGTGGCGTGTCTTAAAAAGGGAGTGATCAATACCGAGAGCGTCACCCCTTTTATCCTTCCTAGTTTTGTTAAGGTGGACTTCTGTCGGCAACGCTCGAACGGACTACTAACGCAATATGAAGATATGCAAAACTTCATCGGGATTCGAAAGTCAACTTCTAAAAGAAATGCCATGACAGGAAATCGAGATACTCATTCCGGTATGGCAGCAACAGTATTGTGTAGATTGGCACAGTATTTCTCGCATGCTTTTTTTCAGGTGCCATCACGCACACACCCTTGGAAGAAACCGCTTCGAAAGATAACGATGAGCAGTGCTGCTCATGCAAAATGGGGCCACCGGGACCACCAGGTCCCCCAGGGCCAGACGGACTAGATGGAAACGATGGCTTACCTGGCATTGAGGGAGAACGAGGACCAGATGCAGGGGTTAATGAAATTCCCAGCGCAGCTGATTTCTGCTTCGATTGCCCAGCAGGCCCTCCAGGACCACCAGGAAGACCTGGTCTGAAAGGACCAAATGGAAGACCAGGTAGTGATGGTGCACAAGGTAATCCAGGATCACCAGGACAGCCTGGTAAACCTGGTCCTCCTGGAGAACCAGGAAGTGATGGTTTATCTGGACCACCAGGCAAACCAGGTACGCCTGGCATATGTGAAGAAGTTATAGTACCGGAAGGCCCTCCCGGACCTACTGGACCTATTGGGGAACAAGGCGAGGATGGACCACCTGGAGCACCTGGTACTCCAGGAGCTGATGGACCTCAAGGACCACCTGGTGATCCAGGAAGGGATGGTAGGCCAGGCGAACCTGGCCCACCAGGCTTACCAGGGCCATTAGGAGATGTTGGAGAAAGCGGAGGCTGCGATCATTGCCCACCACCGCGAACTGCACCAGGATATTAGTTGTTGGGCAGTAGGACTTTTTGAAGGGGGAATAATTTCGTTTATTATTGTGAAGTCATGAAATGAACAACAAACATCCGCAGGAGGAAATAAAATATTCTAAATACTTAGCATACGTCTATTAACATCTTAGGATGAAAAAACTCACCTTGTCAACGGCGAACCCTCGTGCCTACGATCAACTGCTATCAAATTATCATTTTCCAACGGTCGCTTGACTTCTGAACTGAGTGGTCTACCAAATGTGACCTTAAGCAGTCAATTATTTCCCAAAGGAATGAATAAAATTTCTCTAAGAGAAGAAACTTACCTTCTGTTTCCCGTGACTATCAATGGAAACAGTCACAATTTTTGCTATGAAGCCGTTCTTGTTGGCCACTTCGAACACCATCAGATTATCGTCCACAATAACGTACTTGAACAGAAATACGAAGCA